ATAGACTTGCCCATGTAGGTTATTTGCTGTTCTTCTTTAACAACTCACAGTATCCTATCTTTTTGTTGGATTTTTTTTTTTTTTTTTTCAGATTGTTTTTTTCAGAACCGAGGATTGAACTCAGGCCCTTGCACTTGCCAGGGAAGCGCTTATTCCACTGAGCCATCTCCCCGGCCCTTTTTATTTTGAGCCTTGGTTTCACTAGGTAGCTCAGGCTGAGCTTCAGCTTGTGGCCAGCCTCCTGCCTCAGCCTCCTGAGTGCTGGGGCCACAGGCGTGGCCACCGTGCCCAGCTAAGAGCATCACTCCCACAGCTCTGGGTAACAAGTCTGTTCTTGGCTTGGTGCTGGCACTTCCTCTAGGACAGGAAGAGAACAGAGCCATCTCTGGTGGCGGGGAGGCTGAAGCTGGACCATGGGGGGGCTGGCGTCACATCGGGGGTACAGGTCTGGCCTGGGACCTGGCTGCGCAGCCCACAGTTGTGCTCAGGCACCCAGGCCCAGGGTGGAGTTGGCGTGGCTGGCTTGCTGGCCTCCTGGGGGCTGGGCAGCCGGCCTGCAGCAGAGGCAAGTTTGCAGCTGCTGCCAGAGGGAGGAGGAGCAGAGGAAGTGTGAGCAGGCCTCCGAGCTGCAGGGCAGAACTGTGGCTGCGACAGAGTCCTCACTAGCCTCCCCCCAGTGAGTGCTCTCCTCAGGCCCTACCTTGGGAACAGCCCTAGGCCAGGGGTCCTATTGTTTCCTGCCTTCAAGGGTTGGCATCTGTGACTGCCATCCTGAGACACCTGTCCCTGGGATGCCATCAGGGCACTACTAGTGTGAGGTCACAGAGTACAGGACCTAGGTGGCCCGGTGACCTGTCCCCTCCTGGCACAGCAGGCTCAGTCACTGTGGCTCCATAGTTGGACCCTATGAATGAGCAGTGGCTTCACTGGGGTCTGGTACCCCCAGCCCTGGGATCAGGGCTCAAAATCTTTAATCAGCACTCAAGAGCTGCTGTACCCTCAAGTGACTGTCCTATCCTGGGGGCACGTGGCTGGCTTCTCCTTGTGCTTCCACACTTGGGCTACAAACAGTGACACAGGGTGTCTGGTGCTGTGAGGTGTGCAGGGACGCTGCTGCCACCACAGCGGAGAGCAGCCTGGTGGCAGGCAGGGCATTGTCCATCTGCCCCCTGTGGTGGGCCACATAAGCCATGGCCCAGAAGAGTCCACATGGAGGAGGGCAGGGCAAGGGACATTTCCCCAGGACCAAATGACACTCCAGGGAAAGGCTGACTGCCATGGTCTCCATACCGGACATGATGTCCTTCTGATGTGACAAGTGTCACCCATGTACCCATCTAGCCATGCAGGGAATGGCCCTTGCTGAGGTCAGGTGGTCGTTGGCTGTGGCCCTGGCCATGGGGCTCTAAGCGCTGGCCCTGCGTGCCAGGTGGCTCTGCAGTTGGGCTGGGAGGCAGGATCTTGCTATACAGTGCAGGCTGAACTTGTGCTCACTGTGTGGCTCAGGCTGGCCTCAAACTTGAGGTAACCCTCTGGTCTCAGGCTCTTGGGTGCTGGGACATGGGGCACAGTGCCAGTACTGCTGGCCCCTGCAGCAGGAAGGCCAGGAAGCAGTTAACCCTTGGGGAACCCGGGAAAGAGGAAGTGGCTCTGTGCAGACTGGGCAGCAGTCTGGGCTGTACGTTCCCGCGGCCATTTCCACTTCCAAGGGGACCTCAGGGTTCCCTTAGACCCCCTCCTGTGTGCCCTCCCCTAATATAAATTTATTGAGTGCACTAGAGGCTGAGGCAGGAGAATCACTGTGAGTTCAGAGCCAGCCTGGGCTTCATAGTGAGTTCAAGACCAGACTTAAAGTACATAGTAAGACCCTGTTTCAAAAACCAATAATAATAATAATAATAATAATAATAATAACAATAATAGCTGAGCACGGCGGCATACCCCTGTAAGCCCAGCACCAGAGAGGCTAAGGCAGGAGGATCAATGTAAGTTTGAGACTAGCCTGGTCTACAACATGAGTTCAAGACCAGCCCGAGCTGCATAGTAAGACCCAGTCTTAAAAAAAGACCAGTAAGAATAATGATAATAATAATAATAATAACAACAATAATAATCCCAGAACCAGCCAGATAGCTCAGCAGATTAAAGTGCCACCTTAAGCGCACGCCTGTAATACCAGCGCTTGGGAGGCTGAAAACAGGAGGATCACCATGAGCCCAATCTGTGTAGTGAGACCCTGAACTAAATACATAAGAAATAAAATTATTTTGAATTAAAATTTATGTGCCTCCTGGGCTGGAGCAGAGTATGGACCTGGAACAGAGGGGGCAGTGACCCAAGGAAGGTGCACACCCACCTGCTGCAGGGTCCCAGGTCTGTGTTTGGGCTGTGGGCACCCAAGCTGTGGAACAACTCCACCACCTCCTGCAGCATGGGGCACCACGGCCGCACATCCTCGTCTGCTGGGCCAGTGGAGTGTATAGGGGATGCTGGCAGCTGGGGCTTGGCGTGGCCACCCTGGGGTCCAAGTTCTCCAGTGCTGTAGATGTTACCTACAGAATCAAAGAGGAACAAGGATTGCTGGAGCCTTGGGAATCTGGGGCTCGGAGGTGTGGCCCCTAAGGTGCAGCTGAGCTGCAACTCCTAGCTCCTGGCGCTGCTCGACTGGAGTCCGTGGCCCGCCCCAGCGTCCTGTTCATCCCTTCCCTTGCTGTCTGCCCGGGTTTTGCTTCTGCTTTTTGAGAGAGGGGTCCCACTCTGAAGCCAGGCTGCCTCGGACTTGCAGCATTCAGGAGCCTTCGTGTGGGGCGCCAGGTGTGCACCACTTCTGCTGCAGTTCTCTCCCTGGGAGGATGCATGTTCTGCTGAGGTGGGGCCACACCCGCATCTGGAGAGCACTCAGATCAATAAACGCAAGTGAGCGCCTGCCACCGTGGTGCACGCCTGTAATCCTCACACTCAGGAGGCTGAGGCAGGAGAATCATCCCACCTTCTGGGCCAGCATGGGTTACAGAGTGAGACTCTGTTTCAAAAAAGCAAAAAGATAAAACATGCAAGTGAGTATTCTTCGAAAACCACCAGCTATGGGGTACAGAGTCAGTGAGGGTCATAAGCCGGGGGCTAAGAGGGGCACAAAGGGGTGCCTGTCACAGACAGTCCAGGGACACACTGGACAAATGCAGGACGGCATGAAAGAGTCCGGAGGGACCAGGCAGAGGCAAGGTGGGCACGGACCCAAAGGCTGGCAGGAACCTCCACAAACACCTTGTGAGAAACAGCTTCCTAGAGTCACCAAGGGGCGGCTTGGGGCTGGCGGGCTCTGAGCCCCGAGCCCCGAAGGGCATCGGGTGTCTCTCTTTGGAAATGTATATGGGTAGGGACTCACCAGACGAGTAATTAGACTCTGAGAGGAGGAAAAACTTTCTCAGTGTTGTTTTTCCCTCTCAGGCAACTGCACGGGAAAGGAGCTGTAATGATACCCTCGCCCGTCTCCAGGCTGACCAGGGAGAATGGAGTCGGCTGGAGAGAAGTGTTTCCCAGGCCTGGGGCCTGCGCATGTGTGTGTGTACGCACAGGTCTGTGTGCACCCACACGTGCCTCTGTCTGTGCCCATGCACGTGTGTATGTACGCACAGGGCTGTGTGCATGTGTCTCTGTCTGTGTCTGTGCGTGTGTGACCTGCGCCGGGGTGTGTGTGCCCACAGAGTGGGCAGTGAGCTCTCCAGCAAAGAGCAGAGAGTCCACACAGGGCAAGGTGGGCCCAGGGGACCCACTGGCCACAGGCCGCAGCTGCCATGGTCTCGCTGTAGTCCCCTGATCCACCTGGCCCACACAGGTGATGATGGGCACTGGGGCCTGGCACAGGTGCTGCTGGCCCCTCCTTCCACCTCGATGCCTTTGGCTGCAGGCAGAGCAGTGTCAGCGGTGACCCAGGATGCCTCGGTCTGTGCCAGCCCCTGGAGCTGGTTACGTGGTGACAGGAAAACACCACCCAGAGCCCGTAATTAACGCTGCTCTAAGTAGGCCATGTGCTCAGCTTTTCCCCATTGTGTCTGTCCCAGATGAGGGATGGCCGGAGAGCTGACATGGAGGAAAAGCCACTGCGCAGCCAGGCTCTGTCTCCTGACTTGGTTTCTCCAGGCCCAAGTAGCAGTCATCCTAGGTGACAGTGGGAGGACCCAGTGCCAGCAGCCAGGGGGAGCTGTGACAAAGAGACCCTGGCGTTCCCCTGCAATGAAGCTTGGACTTAAAATAAAGGGGAAGAAGGGGAGCCCAGAGCCCAGGGCCTGGCTCCTGCTGGCACCCTGGCCCCTCCCTGGCCTGAACCCATGTTGGCCTAGCAGGTGTCACAAAGGGCAGGGTCCTCTAGATGCAGCTGCAGTTCTTCTTTGGTTTCTCCGGAACAGGGTCAAGTGGCCCAGGCTGCCTAGAACTCGAGGCAACCCTCCTGCCTCAGCCTTCATGAGTGCTGTGATTTCTCATCCCCCTTATCCTGGCCCCACCTCTTCTCAGCTCTACCTGCCTGGATACTGTCTTCCGACAGCATCGCCAACCCCACAGTGCCCCAGGAGGGAGGCCTGGAGTCCTTGTGAAGGTGGACTGGTTCCTGGAGGAAGGACCAAGCCCCAGCACCCACTGAGCCACGGGGCCTGCGATGTTCACGGGAAGCCTGAAACCTCATCATTCTCACCCCAGCTCCAATGACTTAGCTTCACTGAGCCTTGACTCCCTTAATTGAAACTGCTCTCAACATCGCTGGCTTTAGCCCATTAGCTTTAGCTTCAGTCATTTAAAATGTTTATTTGCTCAGCAAATGTTAACTGAACAGCAGTGCTGGGGACAGAAACCCGGCTCCCAGGGGCTGACAGCTTCGCCGGGGGGCACTGTGCCACATAGAGGCCAAAAGCAGACAGCCAGCGAGACCAGGGGTGCCAACGGCACAAAGGGAGGGCAGACAGTGCAACGGTGGCACTTCGAGGTGCAGCGGGCATCACCAAGGGACCCAGCAGAGCCCTTGTGTTGAGTTTTTAGTTTTTTGGGGAGGTGCGGGGGGTTGAACTTATACACACCAAACACTTGCTTTATATGGAGCTAAGCCCCTGCTCTCATTTGTATTTTGTTTAGTTTTTAGATTTATGTTTGAGGCAGGATTTCATGATGTAGCCCCGGCTCGCTGCCAACTCCCAGCGATCCTCCTGCCTCAGCCTCCCGAGTGCTGGGATTACAGTGTGCGCCCCTTCTCTGCATCAGGCTGCTGTTGTTCCTCTTCCTTCTCTTCAGCTCTGTGCCTGGGCCCGCCCTCTGCTGCCCGGCCGCCTCCTGGGGTGCCCAAGGCTCTGCAATACCTCCCCCACATGCCTGTTTACTCCTGGACAATGTACCACGGGGTAGGTGACACCGTCCCTGGGCCACCTCTCCTCTCTCCATCTTCTGTAACTCACACCCCCCGCCCCATGTCACCCAATACCAACAAGCACCGAGGCCCCCAGCGCACAGGACAAGAGTTCACTGTGCCGGAGCACAGAGCCACGCAGGGTGGTGAGGTTTAGGTTTGGCTGCAGATAACAGCTGAGAAACAACAAAACAGAAGAAAAGAAAAGCCCACCTGGGCTTAAAGAAGCTAGAACTTTGTTTTTGATGAAAAAGCAGCCTGGCGTGCGGCCAGGACCCAGCTGGTGCGGAGAGCCCTGCACCTCTCCGAAGCTGGGCCCCCATCCTTTTGCTCTGCTGTTTGCAGCCTCTACTTCCTGGGTTCAAGGTTGCACTCATGGCCCGGGCTGGCTGCCAGAGACCTAGCTATCACGTCTCATCTCGAGGGAGCCACTGTCTCGTTTTGCCACCTAAGTATGCATTCACTGGGTTGTTTTAAAGATGAAGGGTTCCCTCAGGGTGACTCAGGAGTTTGAGCCAACTAAGCCAAGCAAGATGGCACATGCCTGCTGAAGCAAGAGGATTACAGTGAGTCCAAGGCCAGACTGGGCTACATATTGGTAGCAAGACCCTGTCTCAAAAGAAAAAAAGAGGGTGACGAAGCACTTGTAAGGGACAGTGGTGAGGGCAATCAATGGGACCCACTCAGGACCAGATGCAGCAGTCCCTAGGCCAGCCTGCATACTGTAGGCTCATTCGGCAGATTCCAGGAATGACCACCACTCAGGTCCCACCGTAGCACCTGATGTGATTAGCCTGAGTGTGGCTCCGGAGTCCTCCGCCCGATGCTTGCACGGCGTGGATATGGTGGTGCACACCTGCGATGGGGCGACTTGGGAGGCTGAGGCCCAGGTACCACCTCAGATGACTTTCAGTTGGGGTACAGGCCTTCAACAGGGGTGGGGTGGGGCTGTGCACACACCCTCCCACTGAGCTGTCTACTAGTTCTCTTAGTCTTTCTTTTTGACAAGAACCCCACTGAGCCCAGGACCACCGATAGCACTGCACTCCATCACGAGGCCTTCACTGTTTATTTTGAGACAGTCTCATGAAGGCATTAAGTATGTTGGCTGCGCTGGAACTTGTGGGCCTCCTGCCTCAGCCTTCCAGGTAGCTAAGGTTAGAGGTAGATGCCACTGTGCCTGGCCTAGAACTTTTTATTATTTATGTATTGATTTATTCAATTTATTTGTCTTAGTTACTCTCCTCTCATTGCTGGGACAAATACGCAACACTCAAAATGAGGGAAGGAAACATTTATTTAGCTCACAGTTACTGGAGGTTTCAGTCCATACTTAACTGGCTCCAAGGCAGAGCGGCTCATGGCAGAGAACAGCCTTTCAAGGGGGCTGCAAAAAGCAACAGAGCAAAAGGAGGAGTAGCAGCAGCCCAAGCACTAACTTCTCTTCCCTTCTTACAGTGAAATGCAAATTACCTGCCCCAGGGCAGGTGCAGCATCCACACCCACAATGATCAATCACAAACTCCAGAAGCCGCCCCAGGACTGCAAGAGGCTTTAGGGGGACACCTGTACACAAACCGTAACATTCTGCCCCTGGACCAGCAAAGACTCATGCACATCCCTTTATGCAAAAGACATTCTAGTCCGTCTTTAAGGGTTGCCAAAGTCCCAACAATTTCAGCATTGCTGAAAAGTCCAAGTCCCAAGTCTCCTCCAAGATCCAAGGCAAACTCTCAACTGTGAGCCCCATACAAATGAAAAGTTAAACACTTCCAACATTTAAAGGCACAAGATAAATATTGCCATTCCAAAAGGTATACACAGGAGGATACAAACCACTGGGGCCCAAACAAGTCCAAAATCCAGCAGGGCAAACATTAAGTCCTACAGTTCCGAGTGGAACATCTGAAGCAATCTGCACTGAGTTGTGAGCTCCATGTGGCTGCGCCCCTGTGGCACTTCTGGTGGTTGTAGCTCCCAGGGCTTCTCTCTTAGGCTGGCTTTGCTTCCTCCTTGCAGTTTCCCTCAGATGATTCATGTTCCTGGTTTTTCCAAACTTCTACGGTTTCCACTGAATAGGCTTCTCTCTCACAGCTTCACACATTCTCCTCTAGGGGCACACTGCCTGGCCTCCCAGGCCTTCTGAAATCTAGGTGGAAT